AACTCGAATGAAACATCAAATCGTAAAACTCAAAAACACCAAGTCGCTTAGTTGTTGTCCGAAAATCAGCTCAATCGAACCACAAATGTATCTCTGATTCAAGAGTTGATCAATCCTGCACCAAGCTGCACCAAGCTTTAAAATATTCTTCTCCTCAATTCCTTCCTCAAACGATCCTCCTTTATTTACGAGATGTCTAATGAAATGCAAACTAATATAAGGCTAAAAACCGACACAACCGGAAATGTGAGTAAATGTTTTGATATTATCAACATTTTAGGTTTCGCATAAAATATTATTATAGTTTAAGCTGATGAAATCTTAGATTTTCCCATGATAACAAAATAAATTAAAAGTTGAAATTGTTATGAATATTTATAATGAATATAGTTACACCCAATAATGTAATAGTTCACTAAGAAATTAAGTTGTGATATGAAATGTTAATTTTTTATGAATATCTATAATAAATCCCGTTGTGCCAAAGAATGTTATCAATATTCTCATTTTCTATGTTTTTTTTAAATTCGAAAGTATCGATATTTGTCAAAAAGTATTGATACTTTGCATCATTCTCATTTTCTATTTTTTTTAATTCGAAAGTATCGATATTTGTCAAAAAGTATTGATATTTTGCATCATTCTCATTTTCTATTTTTTTTAATTCGAAAGTATCGATATTTATGAAAAGTATCGATACTTTGTAGCCTTTTCATTTTTCGTGTTTTTCTTTAAATTCGAAAGTATCAATACTTTTGATTTTTTATAATAAAAATGTAAACATTTCACGTAACTTATTTTTTAGTAAATCACGATATTCTTGGGCACAACCCATTTATTAATAAAAATATTAATCATCCATATCATAATCTACTTATTAGTTAACCATGCATTCTTGGTTTAATAAAAATATTAACATTTCAGATCGTAACCTATTTTTTTAGTGAACTATGATATTATTGGGCGGAACTCATTTTATTAATAAAAATATTAACATTTCATACGGCAACTTATTTCTTAGTGAACCATGATATTATTAAACACAACTGTATTTCTTCTATATATTCATTAACATTTTCAGTTTTTAACTTATTTTCTTATCGTGGGCATATCTAAGGCCCTATCAACTTAAACTCTTGTATCATTTTAGGTGCACCATAAAAATTTAATAATATTCATAACATTCATCGTTTATAATATTTTAGTTGCAACCTATTATATTACTACATTAATAATTTTTCCGATTTCACATTTAACATTTTATATTCCACGTTTATCCTATTACTTTTTTTACCGATCACACGGTTTAATAATCATGTTTTAGGAATCTCACAACAGAACTCCCCTCTTTACCCTCTTTTTACACTTCAAATCTGATTTTTTTTTAATGTAATGTACCCACACACGTAATCCCAAGGCAAAAGGAATGAATTTGTGTCAAATCCAAGTAGTAAGGGTAAATATGGCAGAAGTTGAAATCAATAAAAAATGTGACAATCAACCATTTCACTGTGTTCAACGGGTGAGTGGGTTTCCCACATAGTAGGGCTCACACCCAATAATCTGCAACTGTGAAATCATGTGCACTGATTAGGCTTTCGTTGACTGTTTGATGGTGCAGCGAAATTGAAGACCGGAATAACATTTGTCCAATCATTTGGCTAACACTAGGAATTGAAACGTTGTATATATAGTGATGAAAATGGTTCTTTTCCAATGTATTTTAGGTGGAAAATGATTAGATTCCAATTTGTACAATGAGGAGGTAAATGATTGTTTCCCTTTTATCCCATTGAAGCTCCAATTTGTACAATGTGATTTTCTAGAAACATTGGCCCATGTTCCCCACTAGTAATTTTTGTGGGGATAGAAATGCAAGGAGCCAAAGAATATTCGCTTCTTTATCTCCCACTTGTCCATCATCTCCACTACCAAGGGCAATATTAATGAGAGCTCAACACTTAGGGTCGCATCAAGTTTGCTGGAAAGAAATCATGAATTTGTTATATGTGCTTGTTATTTCATTGTTTCTAGGAAGTTGCAGGGCTGATCCTTTGGGGAGTTTTTAAAACGTAAGCACTAACATAGATAGCAGTAGCCGGATATCTGTAAACATCGATCGCTTGTTAACCGAACTGGTCTCTAAAACTGACTTAACCAGTTATATCACAACATCCTCGGGAAAGGATTCTGACAAGCTCTATGGTCTTGCTCAATGTAGAGGAGATGCTAGCCGTAAAGACTGTTGCTTTCTATGGTACAGCCAAGTCGATTTCGTTGGAAAAGTTGACACCTTGATAAGGGATTTAAATAGCATATGCGACCGTATTTTCGGTCGCGTCTCGTTTATGGCGGTTGTGGACATAACGGATGCCATCGCGGTTACTACTAGTGTCGTGGTCGTGATTTTTTTTAAATTCGCACAACTTATCCTAAAATATAATAATTATAATTATAATTTTAGAGAGTCATTATTATTTAAAGAAATAAGACTATCAACCTATAAAAAAAACTCTAAAAAAATTAAAATGGATAAAAATAAATTACCCATTATGATTCATTTACGTAAATAACATATTATAACTTACTAAAATGAACATGTGTAAAATAAAAGATCCAAATCAGAAGATCAACAAAGTCTCGAAAAGTGACTAAATTGCAACACACATAAAAATTGGAGACCAAACTAAAAATACATAAAAGTCTCAATCAGGGGACTAAATTGAAATTGAAATTATAAGCTTGAATCGAAATGATGAAATTTTCATTTGATGACTAAAAGAAAAATTTACAAATGGAAAGGGTCTCGTCGAGCGATTTACCCATGTGATGAATTCATGAACCCCATCTCTAAAAACGACATCGCACATATGGTTGCTTATAACCCAAAAGCTGGGTTTTGAAACCCACATTTCATTTCTTCATTTTGCACAAAACCAAGGAAAATTTTAGAGCCCTCCTCGTACGTGTGGTACATCGGTCATGGACATCGACAATGACCAACCACGGTGGCCAGGGATGGTTCCAGAGTCTCATAAGACTCGTCTCGTTCCCCCAAACTCGAATCGAAACCCCTTTTTCCTAAAACCAAACAACAAACCTTAGATCTAAGAAATTACCTTTCGGTAATTTGGATTCCGGTGGCCCTCAAGCTTTCCGACTACCAGCGATGAAGGTGAGTTCTCCTATCTTTCTTTTTTCGTTCTTTTTGTTTTCGAATCACCCCGTTTTTTTTTTATTCGACTGATTTGGTGTAATGGAAAATAACGAGAATAGCGGGCCATTATCGTCGCGATCGATCGTTACCCTTTAAGTTGCGGCCGCTATCGGACGCTATTGGTGTGATTCCGCATTCATATCGCTATTTCGGGCAATATCAGTTTCGGACGGCGGCACTACCGCGAAATAGCGGCCACTATAGCATTTTTTGTTCCGTTATTTGAAACCCTGACCTTGATTGTCGTATTTTTATCTAATGTTGAAAATGTCTCTGGCCCTCAAAGATTCAACAAAGGACTTGGAGATAGTGTTTCAAATAGCGGTCGCTATTTCAAAATAGCACTGTCGTCCTAAATCGATATTGTCTGAAATAGCGATGTGAACGCGAAATCATACCAATAGCGGTCGATTGCGACCGCAACTTAAGGGGTATCAGCCAATCGCGGCGATAACGACCCGCTATTCCCGTTACACCAAATCAGTCCAATACAATAAAAAAGGGTGATTCAAAAATTTTAAAAATAAAGAAGAAGAAAAAGAAAGATTGGAGAACCCACCTTCATAACGGGTAGCCGAAAAGCTTGAGGGTCACCGGAATCCAAATTACTGAAAGGTGATTTCTTAGATCTAGGACTTGTTGTTTGGTTTTAGGAAAAAAGGGTTTTAGATTCGAGTTTGGGGGAACGAGATGAATCTTCTGAGACTCTTGGATCATCCCCGGCCACCGTGTTTGGTCGTCGTCTGTGTCCATGACCGATGGACTACACGGCCGAGAGGGCTCTAAAATTTCCCTTGGCTTTGAGCAAAATGAATAAATGAAATATGGGTTTCAAAACCCAACTTTTGGGTTATAAACAACCATATGTGCGACGTTGTTTTTAGAGGTGGGAGTTTCATGAATTCGACATATGGATAAATCGCTCGATGAGACCTTTTCCATTTGCAAATTTTCCTTTTAATCATCAAATGAAAATTTCATCTTTTTGATTCAAGCTTATACTTTTGTTTCAGTTTCAGTTTAGTCCCCTGATTAAGACTTTTATGTATTTTAATTTGGTCTCCAATTTTATGTGTGTTGCAATTTAGTCACTTTTTGAGACTTTGTTGATCTTCTGATTTGGATCTTTTATTTTACACATGTTCATTTTAGTAAGTTATAATATGTTATTTTCGTAAATGAATCATAATGGGTAATTTATTTTTATCCATTTTAATTTTTTTTAGAGTTTTTTCTATGGTGATAGTCTTATTTCTTTAAATAATAATGACTATTTAAAATTATAACTATAATTATTATATTTTAGGATAAGTTGTGTGAATTTTAAAAAAAATCACGAACGCGACACCCGCAGTGACTGCGATGACATCAGTTATGTCCGCAACTGCTATAAATGCGACTCAACCTAAAACGTGGCCGCGAACGCTATTTAAATCCATGCTTGGAGCTCTGATAGGTAAAATTATATCGGAAGCTGTCATGCCGAAGAATGAAGGGCTCGGAAAAGGTAAAACCTGTAGATAGATTGTACCCAATGCCTGGCAATTGCTATCCGAAATTTCCCAAACTTTTGTGACAACAAGAAAGGTCGTCGGGTCGTATACGATAGTTGTTATGTACGGTATGAGCTCTATCCATTTTTCTTCCCACTAGATTCAAACAACGGCACTTCAGTTGGCAAAACGAAGGTCATAGTTCGCCATTAGATTTTGAAATCAATCAGTTTGCTTCAAGGATTAGTTTCTTTTCATTGAATAAACTGTGTAATTGGAATCAAATAAGAGTGATCTTTAGCTATAAATTAAGATATTTCTTGTATTCTGTATTTAGTATATCTGTCTACACAAGTTTTTCTTTGTCTGGAATACAAGGAAGCTGAAACTGGTCTCGATTTTAATGAACTATATATCATGTACTCTTCGATGTTAGTTGTTGGTTTTGCCATGGCTTCTGGGAAAAGGAATTGCATCTCTGATGTCAGTGAGGCCAGTGGTAAGGAGAACCATCAGGTCGAACTGCAGGCTGAATCCCGAGTGCTTGACCGTTCCATGCCTGCGAAGATCTAGGTACCAATCATACTGATCTCTCGACAGGTCAAATTCCTTGATCCTGAAGTCAGAAAACCGTTTCCGAAAATAAGATGATTTATCTTTGAATGCAAAAGTTCCTAACATTTGCAGTAGACTAACAAGGATGGCATTACCTTGTACTTAGCATGTCAAAGCGCTCTTCATTTTGGCTCCCTGTTATCACAGTTCCAATCTGCAAATGCAATTTATCCAACTTTATAACCATTCTAAACCAGGAGGTCCAGGACATGTGTTGGTCCCTGAAGATATATGTTTTGAATTTTCTTCGCCTCTTAATAAAATTTAGACTTACCTTGGGTACAACCATCTCAAAGGCTGCAACAGCTGTTCCATCGTCGTTCAAGCGCACATAAAATGGCTTAACTGCTTTCGGATAATCGTAAATAATTACAGGCCTCTTATAGTGATCATCAGCCAAGTAGCTGCCATAAGAGTAAATGGATAGTAAGAACCAAACTAATAAAAGTCTTTTCTGTCTAACGCTCTTGCATTTGGCATGATTTGGTTAATATCTGCATAATACATACCTTAGATGCTCGGCTGTTAGGGGGACGCCCCACTGAAGTTGTGCTTCAAAAGCCTTATCCGGTACCTAATGTTAAAGAATGAAATTAAAACGTTCAGTCAGATCAAAGTTGCTGTAGATATGGTTGAAATGTTTGATGGCCTAATCTATGTTATCCGGATTTGTGTGAGTAATTAAAGAAAAATGACGAGTCCGAGTAACATATGACTAATACGTAGGAAGAATATGTTGTCCAGGTTTACCTTTCTCAAAATTTCCACTGCTTCTCGATAGGAAATCTTGTCGTAAGAACTTGTCGTCATGTATTCGAGACGGTGAGTAATAGTTTGGTCAATTCTTCTCGAGACAAACTTCATGTCTTCTGAACAGTTAACCAATATCCATCTGCAGAGGAATTTGAAATAGTCCTCTGCACATTTCATAGCGTCCTGGAAGCTCCAATGGAAAATAATATAACAGAAATCTTAATTTATGAAAACTCATTCAAGATGGAAGCTCCAATGCAAATTCTTACCTCTAACTGTGAAAAAGCCATTTCGACCTCAACAGTCCACATTTCAGCAACATGTCTGGGGGACACTGTTTTATCGGCTCGAAATCTTGGTCCGAACGAGTAAACATGTCCGATCGCACATGCATAGCTCTCCAGGTGAAGGCGACCAGAAACAGTTAAATAATTCTGGCCACCAAAGAAATCTTCATTGAAGTTCACCGAGCCGGGCTTCACTGCAGTTACTGGTTTCGATTTTTCTCTGGCTTCAATCTGCTGAGCTAATTCATTCGTTTCCTGCAAATCCTGAAGAGCAACAGCAAGTGCTTCTTTATTGCTGTCACTTCGCTTGAGTAGTTCAACTACACTCGATTTCTTCTTTATAGCAGCCTTAACATTTTCAAGGCTAACAGTATCGGCATCACTAACACCGAGTGGCTCCTCTTTCTTGTTTGTTTTTCCCAGAAGAGTTGTAACCTGAAACTTTTCACTGGACCCTTCGGCATCAGTAGTTGTGATGATTGGCATTTGCACATGTAAAAAACCATGGTCCCGAAAGAATGTGTGGGATGCAAAATCTAGGGCGCTTCGAATTCGAGTGACGGATGATACCTGTAATGCAAAGCATATACAAAGGAACATATTCGATTCAGTTTCAAGGTAGTTTTTTTATGACACAAAGTAGCAATGGATGCTGAGAATACCGTTGTTGTCCTAGGACGAATATGAGGATAATCCCTTAAAGAGTCAAGAGGTAATCTTTTCCTGGACAGAGGATACTTATCCTGCTCAACTGTTCCAACATGAAGAATTTTTTCTGCTTTAAGCTCAATCGTTTGTTTTCCATTTGATGAAGCTTTTTGCAGAACGCCCTGGGCTAATATACATGTTCCAGTTTGGCCTGCTGACATTGGGGCTCTAGTTGAATCTATCGAGACCTGGTCGAGAAATTTCCATAGCAATTAGAAACATCTGCATATCAATCTAAGTAATCTCTTTATTTAGAAAAAGGGAAAAAAGAATACCTGGAGAGTTGAAATGCAAGAGCCGTCGTTAATCAGTAGAAACAATGTGGAAGAAGATGATGGTTTAGGAATCAAAGACTCGAGCTTTTCTCGAACAGATGGGGAGCTAGCAGGACCGCACAGAATCCTGATAATGGTCCTGAAACAGGGGATTCGGGACTCAAGAATCTCCAAACAGGACAGTCCTTTACGCTCCGGCGAAGCATCTGGAGGCAGTGGAACAGGGTGGTTCTTCACCTCCTTGGAAGATTTAACCCACCCGCCAACCACCACCGTCTTACTAACCAACCCCATATCGCCGCCATCACAACTTTCCAACACGGTTTTCAACATCACCCGGTTCGAGTACATCGAAGGCGTCAAAGTGGAGCCGGTAGCCTTTGGTTCTTGAGACTCCATCTTCTGTTTTGAAATGGGAACGGAAAAAAAGAGCTGAAACAGGAAGGAAAATGAAGGGAGCTAAGTTTTGCAAATGATGGATGATTGGCGACGGCATGGCTTGCAGGGTGATGATATATATTGAGAGAGAAAGAGGGTTGTTTTTGCTTGACAAGGAAGAGAAGGGAAGGAAAGAAAAGGGATTGTTTGGGTGGATTGACATGGTTTTTTTCTTCTTTTTTCCTGGGTATGGAAGACGACGAAGGGTAAGGGTTGGCGGCAAGCTAAGGCATTCTTCTTAAGTTGGGTATCCGCGGGAACTTCCATACCTCAACTGAAATTCCGGAAGTTACTTTTTATTCTTGGGTAAAATACGCATTTAGTATCTAAACTATCAGTTTTGATCCGTTTTAATACCTAAACTTTCAATTTTTTTATAACTATACCTAACGTTTAGTTTTTGTTTCATTTTATTACCTAAACTATCAGTTTTAGTGCCTAAACTTTCAATTTATTTTCAAAACTTAATGTTAAAATTTGAATGAGTGTACTAAAATAAAATAAAAACTAAACTTAAGGTATGGTTTTGAAAAAAATTAAAAGTTTAAGTACTAAAATGAATCAAAACTGATAGTTTAAGTACTAAACATATAATTTTTCCTTTATTAGTATTTTCTTTTTTGTCAAGGCACATTTTTTATAGGAACAATTAGTTTAGTTAATATAATGTAAAAATAATAACTTAATTTTAATTAATATATTTATATTGATATAGTTATAATTAAATATAATTATCATAAAATTAATAATTAATAAATTATTTAAGCACGAGCTAAACGATCTCAATCAATAATTAAGAGATTTTGTTAGTTTGATCCAATCACAAGCCCTATTTGGTTAGGGACTACCTAAAAGCTATTGGACTTGTTTCTACCTATACTCCAAGAACCATTGCTTAGTCCATACCCTAATCTTGCCCCAATTTTTAGGAATGTTTTTGCTAGTTTAATTTTACAATGATATCAATATTTGCCTTAGGCTTAATGTTAAATTTAATTATTAATATTTATATTTTTCTCCTTTAATTGTTCGTAATAGAAATACATCTTTCATAAGATTTATACACATTCAAAGGATTTTAAACTAAACTAAATTCAAATTCATAACTTTTGAATCTCTTTTATACTCTGATTATAAAACAAACCTCCTAAAAATGTTTTCTACAAAAAAGTATTTTAAATTTTATCTAAAACAAATTATAAATCTTTGATGTTTACTAATCCAGAGTGATTATAAGTAATAATATATGTTCTGAAGACTCTCGATCATTTGAAAATGAATGTTCCAATACCCAACAGTTGTTGGTGCTTGAACTCTGAATCTATAAAAATTACAATAATTCATTTAACCACTGAAGTCACTTAATTCGTGTTAAGTCTTCGATATCTTAAATGATGATTATTAATAAAAAAAAGTTCATTTTATTAAAATATATATACATATTCTCAAAACATGTATTTTAAACCTAAAAACGATTTTGACCACACTTTTCATTAAATACTAAATGTGTTTGTCATCGGAGGAAAGATGATCAGACAATGATATTATATTTGTACACTGAAATCTATATGATGATATAATTAAGATTACAACCGCACATGAAATAAGAAAAAAGTCTATTTAGTATAAGTTAATGAAAATATATTGGTACATCCTTAGGACGGACATTGAAATTAATTTAAGGAATAACAAATTTATCATAAAAAGGTTCAATTTCATTTTGTTTGGGAACTAAAAAAAATTGAAAGAAAAATGTATCTAGTGATAGTTATTGATTTATCTAAAGGGATAGTTTTAAAACCAGATAATTTTGATGGGACAAAGGGATTATTATTTTAATTTTGTGATGATATTATATTATGAATATTGTTGGAGTATTCTTTTTAATTTTTCTTTTGCAAATCATGTTTTTGATGTTATTCTTTCATCTACATAGGTTTTTAGAATTTTATATATCTGATTTATCACATTCATTCGAGTTTAATTTGCTCTAAACTCATTATCGCCTTAGGTGTATACAAATAGTAAAGATTTATATATGAATAATCGACTACAACTCTCCGTTCAAACTAAAAAAATGAGAATTGTGAATAGCGGGTTGTCACCAATCTTCCATCAATATATATATATATATATATATATATCGAACATAGATATATTTATTTAGATGAGGTTTCAGATTCAAACTAGGGTTTGGGTACTGATAACCGAACTAAGAAGTCAAACGTGTTTGATTTTGGTGGGTGACGAAATGCTTTCCTAAATGCAAGTGTAGGCCAACAACCATTAATGATTCCCAGTGTTTTGAAAATCGGACCGGACCGGCCGGTTCAACCGATAATCGTTGTCTAATTCGGTTTAATCTAGATCGGTTGAATTGATATTAGTGAACCGACCGAAACCGTTGAACCATTCAAACCAGACCGACTGAAAACCGGGAAAAACCACCAATTTTATTATTATTTTTTTAAAAAAATTAAACCAAACGACGTCGTTTGTTAAACGAGCCAATTCGAACTCGAGTATTGCTGAGCTCGACTCGAACTTGAAAAATTTAAAAGTAAGCTCAACTCGACTCAAACTCACGAGCTAAAAATTATCAAGTTCAACTCGAACTCGAAATATAATATTGAAGCTTGAACTCGAAAAGGCTTGAACTCAAAAAAAAATTAGAAGCTCAATTAAAGCCTAAAATTCGAGCTTGATTGAAGTGAAAGAATAGTTCACTCAATGCTCACCAAAAGGCTCCATGATTTTGAATGTCAAATTAGCTCTATTATTTATAGAAGTTAGTTGGGATGATCTTCTATGTTTCTTAGCCATGTGGGATTGTTTTTAAAAAAAAAAAATTAAACCAAACAATATCATTTTGTTATGATTTTTTTAGCCCCAAATTTATTTTTTAATTATACTTATATACTTATATTTATTATTTAATATGTTTTACCTTAAATGTTATGTTGTAGTTAATTTGAATCATTTTGTTTCACTTGATTTTATGGTTTTTAACTTATATATGTTATGACTTGCTTTGAATATGAATTGTAATATAAAAATTTATTTTTTATTAAATATTTTTGGTATTTTTATTTAATTTTTTAAATAATTATGAAGTCGTCCGGATCTTTCAACCGGTAAATTTGGTTCGATCGGTTAAACCAATGAACCGATAGCATGACCAGTCCGGTTCTGAAAACCATGATGATTCCATATTTCCACCTCGACATCTGAAATTTCTCCCTTTAACCCGAACTGTCTGTGGGGTTTACCCTTGGGGGACCCCTTATAGGTGTGCAGTGAGCGTGCCCCTTCTGAGTCACTGAAAGATTTGCCAGTCTATCTCTTACGCTCATTACATGACCACAAAAATCTCTCTCGCCCATTTATCCTCCCTATATGCCGCCCTACAACCTCATATATATCCACCTCCTTACACTTCACTTCCAACACAAACTGGAGAAATGGCATTCATTAAACTATGCTTCTTACTTTTGCTGCTCTTCTCCTTCCTCCTTTCCCTCCAAGGTTATTTTCCTCTCCCTTTCCCTTGCTGAAAACGGTTGCATTCGTCTTGTTTTCATGATACATTCTGGTTTTGCAGGATTTCAAACTCCATTTATACTTCCTCTCCAACAAGGGGTCTATCAGTATCCGCCATTGCATTTGCAGGTAAAGGGTACTCTTAAGCATTGAACTTCTTTTATGATTATGGAAACGAATTTTCTAACTCAAAAACATTCTTTCAGGCAACGCATGGCGGTAAAGAAGGGAAGACGAAACGGAGTTGGAGGAGATTGATGATTGGATCTACGGCTCCTACCTGCACTTATAACGAATGTAGAGGATGCAAATACAAATGCAGAGCGGAACAAGTCCCGGTTGAAGGAAACGACCCAATCCATAGTGCATACCACTACAAATGCGTTTGCCATAGGTCATGATTATGCTGTGTAACTTTTGTGCTAAAAGTATATGGTTTAATGTTCTCCTTGTCTTGTTATCGAACATAAAATTCTGGGGAAATTTATAAAATGGGAAAGCTTTATCCGTGCATTTTTCTTTGTGTTGGGAACGAAACAAGAAGATGATTGTATTTGAGAAAATATAGTATATTTGATATGGTGTTAGGGTTTTCAAGGGTTTTTGAAGTGAGGGTCACTGCAACTGCAAGTTGGCATGTGGCAGTGGTCTCAAAGTATATTAAAACAAAAAATTCACATGGGGTGACTTTTCTTTTGAACCTATTCAACTAAACCAACAATGGCAGAAACTGAGATCGAAAGAAATTAAAGAAAGAATAAAGCCAGAAGGTGATGAGACCCCATTTTTTCTGAGAAAACAAGCAAGCCCCCACCAACATTTATATGCTTGATTGCATTGGGCCCTTCTCAGTTTTGAGAATATTCTGGCGATCACTACATACATTCTCACACGCGCAAAAAACAAAAGAAGCAGTAAATATTACTGTCAGTGCTTTCATGGAGCTATATAGGCCTCTGGTCTAGTACATATAACCTGCACGAACCGTGACCTCCAAAAATCCAAATTAGCACGACTGTATTCCAGCACAGATTCCATACTCGTACTTGAATGCAATGGGATTGTTTTATCGACTGGTAAAGATCTGGTTTTCTTCTGCTGTTGCTTGTGGGTGAAAATTGTGTTTTTTGCACACTCTTTACTGGCTTATTTTTCCAGCCTATTGATTGTGTATCAAAGACAATGGTTTTCTGTGCAGATATTTTGGCTTATTTGTGTGCACTAAATAGTTACTTTGATCAATTCATTAAGTTGAAAAAAAAAACTTTTTTCCTTCTAAATTTATAAAATATTTTTAATGAAAATAATGTAAATGACCCTTTTATATTCACATAATTTAATTTTAATTTTCCAAAATGTATTTTTAAAATTTTGAAAACAAAAGGAACATAAGTTACTTGGTTGAAAGATCCAGTCTAGAGGGCAGGTATCTAAAGCCCACTATTCCGGGAGGGAGAAGCCCGAGTCCAAGCGACAGATGAACTCAATTTTTTACGTCAACTGCGAAATACATGTTAGTTATTTATAATAATATCGATATTTTATAAACACTTAGAATTAAGTGTATTTGAATATAATCAATAATCAGTTGATTGCGAATAAAATAAATTGGATTGGGAGGATCTCCCTTACCTCTGCAGTACATAATCCGGATTAATTGATCAATAGATCGGTTATTGGTGTTTATACAAAAAATAATCAGTTGATTTAACTAGATACGATATTAGATATTTCAAGTAAGGTTAAGAGTTCAAGTCTTAGCATTTGCAAATAAAGTAAATTGAGTTGGAAATGTCGCCCTCGTCTCTGTGGTAGCATGTATACTCCAAGTACCATTTTTCCAATTTCTTAATTTAAGTCAATAATCACGTTTTAAACGTGAATTGTTGGCTGAAAAAAATATTATATTCCAAACTAAATTTTGAGCTAAAAACGCTTTCATAAACATTCTTAAATGGACCTAAGTTTGGTCTCAACATTTTTCAATCCCAACTTCCACCTTGAGAAGCCCGCGCATGCCAAACACAATCCCCTTTCAACACATAAACTTGCACCCAAGCTACCCCAAAAGAGTATTCACCTGAAATAGAATTTGTCAAAAGTTACGCATCATACAAACCTTGTTCAAACGACAGCAGCTCCTTTACTCCTAAACCCCTTCCTTCTTTGGATGGCAAAAACAAAATTCTAAATTAAAAAACAAATTCTTATAATGTTGATTCCAATCACATTGTTGACTCGACATTGTTGTAGTAATCAACCAATCAAATATCAACACGACATAAGCAAACATCCGTACCCCATGTAAGAAGTGAAAGCCTCTCAAAACTGTAAAGTAATTTCTCTTGATTTGATAGTCTTCTCAGAATTCATCCATTCATAAAAATTATCAGGGTAAAGTATAGTAATGGTTACTGAACATTTCTGAAGCTTGTATTTAGGTCCTCTAACTTTTAAAACTTATAATACAGTCCCCCAACATTTATTATGTTTGCAATATGGTCCCCAACTTAAATCACTGTTAGAAAATTAGGGTAAATTATATAAACGGTCATTGAACTTTTCAGGCACTTGAATTTAGGTCCCCAACTTTTAAAACTTGCAAAACAGTCCCCCAATAATTTTATTTTCTTATTAAATATAGATGTATAGAAAATATAAATGATTCAATTTATATTTAAATGTATGAATCATTTATATTTTTGATATATTTTATTTTTCTTGTATAAACTAGTATTTAAAATATGTTCATGTTTTAATCAAAATATTTCAATATACGAATAAAAATATATTTATATAAATGTATATTTATATTTAGATGTATAAATAAAAAATATATTCATATATTAATGTATGAATCATTTATATTTTTTGAATATTTTATTTTTAATAAGAAATTAAAATTATTAATTATATTAGAAATACTCAACTTAAGATTATATATATAATCATGAATTATAAATATGAAAAATATAATTATTAAATTTAGTTTAAAAATATATAAATCTTAAATTTATTCTTTTAAAATATTGTATCAACTAATATTTAAAAAATATATTAAATCTATCAAACAATTTATCAAATATAATATTTTTTATTGTAAAAAAATATAATATTTTCCCATCATTTATTGCTTTCAAATTTTTTGCCGAAGTTCAAATCTTATTATTTCCATTTTCCATTATATTCTTTTTTTTTTCTGCATTGGTCATACTATTAGTATATGTATTATTGTATATCTCTTAACACAAACGATGGTGTTAGCTTAATGGCTCCACCCTATATCTTTCATTTGCGTGACTCAGGTTTGAGTTTGCCCAAGACCCAAATTTTACTTCTTTGTAACTTAATTTTCTTCTAATTAGGTGGTGACATGTGTCACCAATAACATATATCATGATCATGTGTTAACACATGTCAGATCCTGGTTAAATGATTAATTTATTAAATTTTATTTAATTTAGGACCAAATTGATAGCATATATAAATAATTAGGTGGTGACATGTGTCACCAATGACACGTGTCATGATCATGTGCTAACACATGTCAGATCCTAATTAAATGATTAATTTATTAAATTCTATTTAATTTAGGACTAAATTGATTATATAAATAATAAAGACTGAATGTATAATAATGTCAATTCCTTTTAACTGCCACTTCATCATTTGTATCAATTGGTAACGACTAGTGGCTTAGTTGAAACAGTTAAATAATTATGTTGTATGATTGATAAATTTAAAAGATCGATGACAAAAGTAAAAAGGGCTAGATAGTTAAGTTGTCAACCTAGTAGTTTACACTTTTATTTATACGTCAAAATAACATTTTATAAATTTAAAATTCGAATTATTTTCAACCTCTTTTATATCCTAACTACTTTTTTTAATTAAAAAATTTCTTCAACAGATAAGAATTATACTATTATATTTATATAAAAAATACGTATCACATGAAATAAGATGAAATTAAATAATAATAAATCTGACATAATTGAATTATTTTGGAATTTAAAGTTTAGAATGAAATTGAATTACTTTGGAAATTGGGGTTTAGAATGAAATTGAGGACTGTTTTGTAAGTTTTAAAAGTTGGGGGACCTAAATTCAAGTGTCTGAAAAGTTCAATAACCTTTTATATAATTTACCCTAATTTCTAACGGTGGTTTAAGTTGGGGACCATATTGCAAACGGAATAAATGTTGGGGGACTGTATTGCAAGTTTTAAAAGTTGAGAGACCTAAATGCAAGCTTTAGAAATGTTCAGTGACCATTACTATACTTTACCCAAATTACTATTATCTTTAAATTTATTAAAACTTATTTATCATTTTCTAACACGTAATGTAATGACCATTTTATAATATTTAGTAAATTTAATAATTTTTATATAATTCTCATAACTTCAATAATAATAAAATTTTAATGACTCGTGTAATTTGCCTTTTCTTCCTTTTTTTTTTTTAAATTACTATTACGATCAAAGTACTCAAAAGGCTCTGCAGTGGAGCACTAAAAGACCCAGGCTGTACACTCTCAATGAAATCTCAGTTTATGCCCCCTCTTTAATACGCAATCTCAAAGGAAAATCGATGATGAAAGTCAAAAAGAGTTATTTTAGTTCATTTATGAACCACAGAATCGTCCATACTCTTCTTTTTTTCTTTCTGCTATTTACAACCTGGAAACGAATGATGATAACCTGAGAGAAGAAGATAAGAGGGGGGGGGGCATTGTTTAATAACCTGGCAGCCTTCGTTCTGTAATGGGTTTCAGTTTTAATGTCGAAGAATCCGTACATAACCTGGACAGATTAATAGGATCCTGAATCCTGACCACCACCTCCACCACCACCATGTGGTTAGGAATTCAACTTGTTGGCCAGCAGGTGGCTCGGTGAACGTGTCGCCAGAATGAACCGGTGTGGCTCGTTGGAATTCATCTCCATTGCATGCTTTCTCGCCTTCATCAATTCGTCTCCCTCATTCGGTGAACTCTTCATTACAGTGGGCCTGGGAATAAAGAAAAAGAATCATCACTACCCAACGTGAAAGAGAAATCACTTTCTTCTTGAACTATTTATTGATTTGAAGGGTTATATTCTGCGGAGTCTAAAATAAGGTTAATTAACCGCGTGACCGGTAGAAAAGGTTACAGGTTAAAAGTACGACCTACAATATTTTAACTTGGAACCAGACTAAAATGAGACTGAATAACAGAACATGTTTTAAATAGCGTAATAAAATTAGCTAATCTTATTCTCATATGTAATGGGGTGAGGGGAGGTAAGGTAGTAGGCTGTTCCCAACGTCAGGTTGAGAGTAACTTCCGTATAAGACCTCCGGCAGTCAGAATTATAAAATATCCATCATGGGACTCGATAGATTTAAATAACGTGATAGATTTAAATAAATTAAGTTATAGAATCACGTTGCAATATGAAATATTATCATTTTAAAAAATAAAAGCGATTACGTCTAAAGTATTATGAAAGTTTTAGCAGATGGAGGATTGACGTTCCCCACGACAATCACAGAGCATTCTCTCAAAGTTCTCTTGTCTTGCTTATTGTGCTAAGTTCTCTTGTTTTTGCTTCCGTTGGGAATCTAAGCATATTTGCTTGGGTTGTTTTCAGGCTGACTTAGCCGCAATCACAGAGAAGGCGACTAAGGTCGCACGTTCGAGGTGTTTAAGTTCCAAGGGCGTGACAAGTGGTACCAGAGCTAGTTTTGCGAGAAATGGCACAACACAACAATGACGAGGTCCCAGCAGCCAGTGAAGTGATGGAGACTCGTGCTGTTGCGGCGAAGAAGCGTGGAAGCTCGAAGGATGTCGTGGCATCATTTGAGCAAAGGGTTGGCAGATTGGAAGATCGATATAACGAAGTTCAGGAGACTCAAGACTCGGTTGAATCTCGCTTGGAGAAACTGGAGTCTGTGGAGGATGTGCTTCGCGAAGAAACCCAAACACTCATCAACGACATGACAGAGACGGTGGATGAGCGTACCCGAGGTCTCGAGAGCATGTACTTGGCCATGAGGGCCGAACTGATGCGGGAGATGAATGAGCTCAAGAGTGAGCTGCTTGTCTACAAGGCTGCAGTGTTGAATGGAGTGACTGGGGAGGCGCAAGCACCAAGACCCAGGATCGACGTCCCTAAGCCGAAGGAGTTCAAGGGGAGTCGAACTGCCCAAGATGTGGAGAATTTCATCTGGGGCATGGAGCAATTCTTCCGAGGCATGGGCATCGGGGATGATGCCACCAAGGTAAATGTTGCTTCAAATTATCTTGCTGATGCTGCTATGTTATGGTGGCGACACAGGTGTTCCGAGAGGACGGATCCGGTCGGGACATGGGAGGAGTTCGTGGGCGAACTCAAAGAGCATTTCTACCCGAAGAATGCTGTGCTCGAGGCTCGAGCAAAACTGAAACAGTTGAAGCATGACCGTACAATCTTGGAGTATGTCAAGAACTTCACTGAGATCAAGATGCAAATTCCCGACTTAGGTGAGTCAGAAGGGTTCTTTGCATTCATGGATGGACTACAACGGTGGGCCAACTTGGAGATCCAGATGAGGGGAGTGAAAACTCTCTCCAAGGCATTGGATGAAGCCGAGGCCATTGCCCCATTTGAAATAAAGAAGACCGACTCTCACAAACCAAAGCCAAAACCCAAAGGTAATGGTGGGGGAGAGAAGGCCAGAGGAATCTCCAACAAGCCAGCAGGGGGTAATGGGAAGCAGAATGATCGACCCAAAAAGCTTTCCAATCCTTGGGAGAAGAAGGGAGAATTATCGTGCTTCAATTGTGGAGGAAATCACATGAAGAGGGATTGTCCTCAGCTTATGAAAGTTGCTGCCATCAAGGAGAATGATGGGGAAGAGAAGGAGACCTTGAAGCTTGGTTCCATCATTAGTTCCATGGAGATCAAGAAGGGTCGCAAGAAGAAGGGACTGATGTACGTAGACATCACCGTGGCGGGCCAAAAGATGAGTGCACTAGTGGACACGGGTGCCTCAGAGTTGTTCTTGTCCGAACAAGCTGCCAAGAAACTTGATCTTCGTATAGAGAAGACAAGTGGCTTCATTAAAACCGTCAATACCAAGGAGGTTCCGATTGTTGGGGAAGCAAGAGGAATCAAGCTTAGCATTGGAGGATGGACCGGGAAGGAGTCCATAAAGGTAATCCCACTCGATGATTTCGACTTTGTTATTGGGATTAGTTTCCTTGATCGGATTAATGCGTTTCCCTTGCCATTTGCCGATTGCCTAGTAATTTGTGATCCGAAGCACCAATGCATTGTTCCGGTAAGTCGAGAGTCTGGAACCGATGCCAAGATGCTATCCGCGATCCAGTTCTCAAAGGGGGTGCGCAGGGAGGAACCCACCTTTGTGGCTTCATTGGTGGGAACTGAGCCCACAATGACCGAGGAAGTCCCGACTGAAGTGGGACAAGTATTGGCAGAGTTTAGGGATGTAATGCCAACAGAGTTGCCAAAGTGTTTGCCACCGAAGAGAGAGGTGGACCACAGGATCGAGCTCGTGCCGAATGCGGAGCCTCCCGCCAAGGCACCGTACCGTATGGCCCCACCGGAGTTAGAGGAGCTTCGCAGACAGTTGAAAGAGCTCCTAGATGCGGGACATATCCGACCGTCGAAGGCACCCTTTGGTGCACCGGTGCTATTCCAGAAGAAGCATGATGGCTCCCTTCGAATGTGTATCGACTACCGGGCTTTAAACAAGCTCACTGTGAAGAACAAGAAACCCAATTCCATTCTTCTCTTTGTGAGAGAGTAATAAAGCTCTGAGGCATTTGCTCTATCTTTCTGAGTTCTTTAGTTTCTTTATTCTTGTTGCCTATCTCGGTGGCCAGGAGTAGCCACCTTCGTGTTAGCACTTCCACACGATAGTCCGACCTTGTCGGCATTCTAAAGCTTCCGCAATCCAAAGCCTTGAGGGCTTGGTTCCAACCTTTGTGAGTTTGCACACTCACTTAGCTTGGGTAAGGCTTACTTAGTCGCCGAGAAGACCGAGGAGCGTCTAAAGCGTCTAAGGCCGCACGACCCGTCAGACCTTGACTCTGATATTCCGACGGTGTGAGGCGTCGAAGTTCTGGGGGCGTGACAATTTACTTAGTCACTTTCTAATATATATATTTTTTAATTTTTTTGTGTTTAAATTTATCAATTAATTATATTTAATTAGGATAAACTACACTAGGAGTCACTTTTATTTCATTTTTTTCTGATTTTGATCATTCAACATTCAAAAGTTACATTTTGAACACTTACATTATTAGTTTATCACAAAATGATAACTCAAATGTTAGCTCTGTTATATTGATGGTGTAATATGTTAACAAAATTTAAATACACAAGTAGTAACATTAAAATTTAATCATTTGTATCAACTTTTTTATTAAAAAAAGTGATTTTTTTTTCATTCTTATTAACTTATGATATCATTAATGTAATAAGAGATAATGTTAGTGTGATATTTTTTTATAAATGAAATAAAAGTGACCTTCAATGTAATTTTCTTCTTTATTTACTACTTGCAAAGTTCAATTCCATTGTCCTTCCTTGTAGTCCAACAAAGATTTACATATTTCCAATGGAAATCATCAAGAGATTGTCTTAAATAAGAAAAAGAGGATTTTAATTATATTATGCTCGTAATTAATAACCTCACATGATAATTAATTAATATAACCATAACCACTACAATAATCATCATCTTAACCCAAATAAACCCCTTTAGTATACAAAGGAAAGGGAAAGATAAAAAGGTAGACCCCATGGCATTGTCCATTTAATATTTCTCAACATCTTAAACAAAAACTATATTTACGTAATACTAACATATATATAGAATGCAGTAAGCAACGCGCGGCAATGGAGGCTTCAAAATAATCAACTTAGCACCAAGCAGCAGGAGAACAAGCACAAGCCTTTCTTCTTCATCTAATTAAACAGATTGAAAAAAAATGGAACATTAATGTGTGATGTAATGATTGTATAAAAGGTAAAACATAGTTATTACACACATGGGGAACAATGGCGGAGACTGGAGATTGTAAAAGCTTTTTAAGTTTTAAAATTAATGGAGTAGTGGAGCCTACCTTTTTGGGTTTTGCGTAAAGCAGGTCAGGTGAGATTTTGTAAAGGTCTTCATCGACGGGTTTTGGGGTTGGCTTGGCCGTGGGAATTGCGCTTGTTCCCGCCGCTGCCGGTTGTTTCACGTCACCGGCCTCCCAGCTTTGCGTTTTGTCTTCTTTAACGTGCGACTGTCGTACTTTTGTCTGCAAATTTCCATTCATTAAGACTAAAAATAACCCATTTACCATGGCTTTGATTTGTTTAGTTCTTGGTTTACATACCCTTTTACGAGGAACGACAATCATGGCGGGAGTAACAACATCGTTCTCATACAGATCACCGGCGACATATAAATCACGATCCTCGGTGTAGCTGTAACGAAGCAACCCGGTTTGTCGAGCCGATTCGAAACACTGAGTAATAGGAAGGTCGTTGTTCCAATCCCAGCTTCCAAAGGCCGGAACATGGTTCCTTCTGTAATAATCCTAAACACACAAACAGAATCCCACTATGCTAACCAACAGCAATGCAAAGTACAATGTACAAAACCAAAAACGGAACACACATGAAACTCAATTTGAAAACAAAGAAGGAAAAAAAAAGGTAGACTTCACTTACATCCATTCAAAGAAGCCCTTTCAAAGGAGAGTCGAAAATTTGTGTGTCGTCTTTCACTAGTTTCTTTCTTCGTGCGAGGATGGGAAGTATAGCAATTTAAAGGGTGAAGTGAAAGGAAAGGTAGGGTAAAAAAGTAGAGGTATGGAGGTGGGATCCAAAGCAATAATTTTTTTTTTTATCTGGGTAAAAAGAAAGATTAACCCTGACCAGATGACGAAGTTTCACAGCAGGAGACACCAGGACAAAGAGGGAAAGGTAAGATAATGAAAAGATGAAAGACAGATTAGTAAAACAGGGCTAGCGTGCTTTTGATCAAGTGTATATTCCAATGTTTTTCACTTTGGTTTTTGTGGGAGTTCTTTTTTACTGTGATTAGCCTGCAAAGACTATGGATTGGCCTTTGGATTTAGGGTTTAAACCCCCCATTGCGTACGGGGAAAGAGAGAGGACGACGAAGTCAGTAGAGGGGGTCAACACTCAACAGTTTAACTTTGGGTGCTTAATGGATCTGAAAGGGATAACAGTGTTTTAAAGTTGAAAACTTGCAGAAGACAAAGCTGCAGGGAGAAAGAATAAATTTTTTATCTTTTTTTTTTTTATTTTGCAGGGAAGCAGTTCAATTGATAAGGACATGTGCAACTGTGTACACAACCTCTGCCCTTTTAACCCCCCCTTTTTTTTGCTTTTTATTATCCTTTAATGGTAATTTTTGATATCTTTCATTCCGTAAAATTGTTTTTCACCATTGGTAAATGCCAAATAATTCAACTATCCAACGAATCGACAACGAAGCTTTGACCCTTTGGTTCTTGATAGAAATTTTGAACAGAGAATTCATTTATCTTGTTTTTAATTCATGATTTAAACAATGATGACATCATAATGACTTGACATGAAATAACCTTGTTTTTGTTTTTGGTCCCGAAGGGACTATGTTTGGTCCTATTTCATGTTTGTGTTGCAGCAGAACAGACCTCGAAACGATGCATACATTAGATTCGAGAGTATCTATTTTTATTTATTTATTTTATCCAAATCAGGTGTGTTCTTCTTTCCTCTTTGTCAGTCGTATTGGATTTTTACAATATCTTATTCTTACGCCGCTAACAAACAAACAAAAACAGAGCAGCTTACCAGTAAACCCCTCGTAAGATACAGGTATTTGGTTCTTCGGATAATAAAAGAAAGGGTAATCTACGTGTTTATACATTTTTTAAGTGATTAATTTAATTTGATTATCAATTTTCCATATTTTAATCGAATAAATCAATTAATAGAGACTGAATATTTAATAATTTGGATATGACCTGTGATTTGTGAACCCATAATACTTAGCAGGGTAAATATTTAACCGGTGACCTTTATTTTTAAATAAAAAATACAATTTTTATATTATATCAACGAAACTATTCAGATAGTCAAGCTCTGATGAATTTCCTATTTATTCCTTATATACTATATTGACATAATCTGCCACTAATAAATAAATAAATAAAAAAGGCCAACCCTCATATCAATGGGTTAACATGATATCATTGATACCCATTGGGCATTTTATAGAACCGTTGACTAACTAGTTAAATGTGTAAGGTCGTGAGAGCTTTGCACCAATATATTTTTCCTATTTTTTAATAAAATTTCTAAACTTAATTTTTGGATCCATATTTTTCAGAGAAAATTATAGGATTGATCATTTTAGTTTAGGTTTTGTACATTTTTTTCATTGAATTAAAATAATATAATATTTGATTACTTTCATTTTTATTTAATTAAAATATGGTCATTTTGGATTAATTGTCGTTAGATCTTTAACGTATTTACTGATGTGACTAGGGATGGGTATGAGTCGGATTGGGTCCACCCGAACCGACTTGAGAATAAGGAACCCTCCACCCGAGATCCAACCCGACTTGACCAAAACAAAATTTCACCCGATCCGAACCAAACCGACTCGAAATAATAATAATAATAATACTATTTTTTATTTAATAAAAACTGTGACTTAATTGAAAAAATAATATATAGAGGGGTATTATTGTAATTATGCCTAAATATATAAGGTAAAATTATATATTTTTCGGTTCAGGTCGGGTATTTTTCACCCTAAACCCGAACCCAATCGACCCGAACCTTATTTTTTTAAGAAAACTTGACCCGATCGGGCCGGGTCGGGTCGGAACCCGTCGGGTTCTAGTCCATGCCCATCCCTAGGTGCGACACAATGAATTTATAAAATTAAAAGATAAATTGCACAAACGGTCATTAATGTTTAAGTAAGTTTTCATTTCCCCCACTAAAGTTACAAAAGTAACAAATTAGTCACTAAAACATCAAATAGTTCATTGAACAATAATTTTATATCTAATTTACCCCAAAGTATATAATTTTTTAAATTAAAAAAACTTAGAAATTAAACGAAAGTGATTAATACGTAATTTATCCTATTGTTTATTTGAAAATATTTTAAATTAGTTGCCCTTCTAACCGCTCTAGTACTCTCTGATTTATGGGTGAATAAGCTGGGTGTATAAGGACCCATAACTTAAAATTTCCTGATGTTATATATAAAAATCTGTTTGTATTGGGCCCTCGGCTTAGTGGAATAACAAACCAGAGGTGCTAATTCGACATGCTTATGTTCTTGTAGGAATTTTTTAGAATACTATCTTAGAATATTTCTTAAAATATTTTTTTTGTGATATTATTTCTGCAAAAAAATATTATTTATGTAAATTTTAATTAGGAAGTAGTTTGAAACGTTGTTGAGTTATAATTACGTGAAGATAATATCATAATTTATTATTTTAATGAATCGATCTTTTTAATAACAAATAGATCAAAATATAACTAAAAAAATTAAACATAATAGATAAATGATCAAGATATATAAAAAATATTTAAATTAATTTGAATATGTAGTAGGCGTGGTCACTAATATCATAGTAAATTCTTTATAAAAAATTATCATTCAAGAGTTAAAGATAATTGAACGAGACTATATTAACGTGTTAACAGATATTATCTTATATTCACTTCAATTTTTTTTTAAAAAAAAGTAGAAATAGGAAAGAGTAACTTAGGAGCTTGAATATTAAAATGATACCTAATCATAAACAAAATAAGGTGGTCCTAATTAAAAAGAATGAAACAATGCATGTGGAAGCTGCTTATCTCAAGCAAAGCATAATTATGAGGTGGTTAAAGAATCTAATTCCAATGCCTTGATGTTTATCAATCTCTAAGCAAATCTTACCCCACCATGTTCTTCTTTTCCCATCTCAAGTCTCCCCTCCAAAGCATTTCCAAATGCTTGCATGCCTCTCACTTTTTCTTCTTTATTTCTAATTAATTTTATATTCTGTGTCCCTTTAATCGATTAAATAGTTGAACATATATTTTTATAATTAAATGTACAAAATTTACACATAATCGGGTCATCGCGATATAATTTATATTTATGTCTTCGATTTTTTTTACAAATAAAATTATTTTCGGGTTTCCAAAAGAAAATGAAAATAAAACCTAAAGCCAAAACAAAAACAGTACCAAGCATACCTAAGTAACATCCACACACGGAGAGATTACTTGGCCATGGAGGTGGGGCTCAACTTTTCAACAGATTGATGGCTTAGCATTAAAGATTAGGGAGGTTAAGTTTAAGCACACGCCAAGGTTAGCAAACAGTATGGCAGATTACTTGGCCAAGCTGGGGTCGAGGAGAAGAGAAATGTTCAAAGCCAGTTGGTATGGGTCTGTAATGTTTTTATTATTTTTACAATGGAATAGTTAGAATGGTTAGCTTGTGAGAGTTAGCAGGAACTGGGGGTAATCTTTTCAGATTGTCATACAGAGTCCCTGCTCCGGTTTATGTAACGGGGCTTTTGGTTAAGGGTGGGATTCTTCGATATTAGGTGTGTCTTTGTTATGTTTGATTTGGTTTTTCCATTTATTTGTTTCCCTTTTTCGAGCACTCTTTTCCCCTAAATAGTGTTAGAGGGGTTTTTAATGAGACTCAAAATTGGGGACTCGTTTTTTCTTCTCCACGATGAGTGATTAATATAAATTCACGTTGCTGAGAAAAAAAAAAAAACATCCACACACGGAGAGATATAGCTAAATAAGTGCCAACATGAAACATCTCTATCGGTATCTCCACCTATATATAGCTTGATATTTTTATACAAAAGAATCAAATCAAATCAAATCGTTAATGTGCTTCCTTTTTCCTCTTGCCCGTGACTTGAATCCTAGCCAGCAATTGCCTACGCAGACCAAAGGGGTGAACCAAACCCTAAAAAGAGCAAAAGAAAAGCACCCAGCTACCGGCCACTGGCCCTCCTCCGTCATAAGTGACGGTGAATGAAGACCGAGTTATGTGTCACTCTCACACGTACACACCTTTAAATGTAGTGTTGGAGTAAGGTTAACGATATATATGAAATTTAAAGGGGAAGACAGTGATATAATAAAAGCAAAGGAAGTTGATGAAATCAAACTGGAAGGTTACGCTCAGTTCCAAGTTGTCGTGAAGCTTGCAAATTGTCACTTTCCTCACACCATGCTCGCACCCCACTTGATTGTGGTCCACCCAAAACCACCATTAATGGATAATATATAGTAATATTTCTTTACATACTGATGACTCTGTCATCAGAAAGAGAAACCCCCACCCCCCCTACTTTCTCTCTTATTTAATGGAAGTAAGATTTCAGATATATTAAGTCACAACATTCTTGCTATAACCGATGTACAAAGTTGACATTCTTCTTCTTCATCCTCTTCCATGGTGTTCAGGGATTAAACTGTTTCTTTTTTCATGACAGACTTGATCATCAGCAGAAGTGTTGTACGTGTATCTTATTAAAGTGGTGTTAAAAGAATATTGAATGAATGGAAGGAGAAGAAGAGAAAGGAAAACACATGGCATAGAGTGGAGGAAGGTGGGAGGGGGCCTATGGCTATACACTATTAGTTAAGCTTAGAATTTCCATATTCTCTCCAGCCCTTCAGAATCTTCAATAATTGTTTTAAAAAGTAGTGTACTTTAAGGATATATAATTTCAAGTTGCCTCTTCCTTTATCATACTTATTTCGTCTTCACACTCATCTATTATTGATATTTTTTCCTTATAATATATATATTATTAAGCTTTTTCAATATTTAAATTTATAAGATCCTAAATTACTATTGGATAAAAAATACTGAGTGCAAAACTTCTCTCAAGAAGCTTTTAGTATTTTAGTTCCATGACTGATGAAGAGACAAGTCAGTCCCGAATTATCAATAAGTTTGCAATACTGGAATAATATAAAAAGTTAAAAGTCAAAATCAAAATGATTTTTCAAGATAACAGAATCATACCCTTTTGAATGAATGGGGCACTTCCCCAATCAAAAAGCAACAAGAATAACAAGAGCACCATAAGAAGTGTATGTAACAGCAAAAACAACGCTGTTTTGTCTCTTGAAAAATAATACTTTTGATTGAATGGTCAAACCACTTTATGGAAAATAAACTTGATAGTGGGTTGAAATTTGGATTGTAGTAAATCAGGACAAGTTTGGGTCATCATATCATCGAGTGTTGTAGTGAACAAACTGATTATGATTATCGCCATCTCTTCGTTGTGTTTGTGATTTTGGGCCTCGCTGCCGACATCACCGGTCGCCACCACCTTCCAATTTGACCAACATAAAGTAAAAACGAGGTGCAATTACTGGAGTTAAACGAATTCAACTAAGCACTCAACTTTAAGGTGGAGAATGTAGTGAGGGAATTTTGATGTTTTATTCCAAAAACTTAAAATAATAATAATAAAACACTACAAACATACGATGGATAAACAAAGAGAGAAGACAAGAGAGGTCCCACGATCCAAGTGGGAAAATGGAACCATGTGCGCTCATGTGGTGGTTGGCCATTTCAGTCCCCACAGAACTCCCTTTCTCTCCTCTACAACCCCTATCTGAAAACGAAAGCAAACGCCTTTTATTCATTTCTAATTCCAATTTACACTGTCGTAAATGATATTTAAATTTTAAACCAGAATAATAAAACAGATAATTAAAAATATTGAATCATTTAATAAAATGTGGTTATTAAGAATGATAATAATGGGGGTATATATCAAAATCAAGGGTTGATTCCCCAAGTGTCCTTCCTCTTTACACCTCCCATTTCCAATCCCTTGTTCATTCTCCTTTACTTATACTCGTCACATGTTTTTGTTCTTGAAAAGTTCCCCTAACCAGTAACCACATCTCCCTCATTCCTTCATGTCTGGTTGGTCTGTTTAGATACTGTGTCAGAGAATTAGTCAGCTTTTGTCTTCTCCATCACTTCTGCTTTTGTGCAACCCATTTTCACCATTCCTACCTTTGATCCATACAGAAAAAAGGCCAATCCCTTACCCCAAAAAACCCTAATTATTATTTTAACTTCTCGTCTCATAAACCATGAATAACCCTCACCATATGAACCCTAGGTCTCTAAAATCCAGGTTCACCACAAGGTTCCTCAGGGCTCTGACCAAAATCCGTGCTCAAAAACCTATATCCTCGTCTTCTCCCACCGAGATCTTCCGACGATACCGAAAGATCAAGGTGGCTGCAGACAAGTCCATGGCCTACTCCGTTAGGTCGAGGAAAACTTGGAGTAGGGCAATGCTTTGGAAGCTTCGGAGCCGATCACATCGCAGAAGACCAGTGAAGACTAAGTTCCGACAATCCGTCATGAAGAACACGAAAACAACAACAACAACAGGGGAAGATGGGGTTGGGTTCGGTGTCGAAGCAAGTGAACTAAGAGAGCTTGTTCCAGGTGGTGAAGCCATGGATTTATGCAACTTGTTGGACGAGACAGCACATTACATTAAGTGCCTTACCACCCAGGTACAGGTGATGAAAAAAATTGCCGATTTCTACTCTCTCTGAGCCTTTTGAGTAATATATATATATATATTCTTATCACCATCATCATATATATAATAAATCCGAAGAACATAATTTTAAAAAGGGAAATATTTCTTTTTCTGTAGAAAGCATATATATATAGCCAGGTGAAATAGTTTCTAGACAGAAAGTGATGAGTCCTGAGTGAATAAACTTGCAAAATCTGTGTCATGATTTACATACACAGTAGTGTTTGTATAGTTATGTTGGTAATTTCTATTCTCATATACATAAATCTATTTTACATATAATTTGTTTTAATTTCTTGTTCTTGGGTTTCCAAACTTTTTGGTTAATAAATTATCCTTAATAGTAATAAATATTTTTAATTATATTAGTTTGACATGAAGTATACGTCAAGATATTTGTGTTAAGGTGAGACAAATGAGGTTTAATTCTATCTTTAGATAGATTATCAACCACACAAAATTAAAACACATACCAAAACTCGATAAATAAAGCAGGATGTTTTTTTCCAATGATAATGCCAAAATAGTCAATCATAATCAATTGTCTTAAGTTCGCATATATACTTAAGTAGCCTATAAGCTTTTTTAAAAGGAACATATAAATATATAGATAACATTATTATTTTGTATGATGATGGGGGGCTTTAACGTCTATATAGCATGTATATTTATGAAATAGCAGGCTCTCATTTCCGACTTAATTATTGCAGATTATATATATAGAATATTTCAGTTGGCATGTGTGTTTTAAAATCATACTCTAAACCCTAATTATTATCAGCCATATAGATATAAAAATGAAGTAATACGTTTATAGAAAAAGCTTCCATGGTCGAATCCTTCGTTTACCAGCTGCAGTATTACCCAAAACTTGTTCAAAGTCTATGTGTATGTGTGTGTCAGTGTGTATATATATATATATACTTATTAAGATTTATTGCTTTAAAGAACTGTGAGGTGGTGTAGGTTTTCTTCCCTTCCCTCACACACACACTCACAAAGGATCTTCTGCATGTATCATTTCTTTGTGGGAAATTCAGAAGGTTCAGTGATTCTGCTAAACACATGATCCGTGAAATATAAATAAAAAACCAGTAGCCTCTCTCTCTCTCTCTCTAATATATATATATAAGGGTGAGCATTCGATTGAGTTAAGTAAAATTTTTTTGAGTTATTCAAGTTGGCTAGTCCTATTTATAACTCAATATTTACTTGAAATTTTTTCGAGTCGATTTTATAAAATTCGAGTCTAGTCGAGTTGAATTATCCGAGTTCCTGTTTAAATTTACTTTATAATATTATGATGCTATTTGATTTCAATTTAAACAAATTTCTATAACTATACACAATACATAAATATTTCTTCATATGTGATATACATTTATCATATAGTTGAGAGACTCGACTCAAGCTTGAAAATCAATATACTAATTATTAAAATTTTTAAGTTATTCGAGTTCTATTTCATAATTGGACTCAAGTTAAAAAAATTCGAGTCGAGTCAAATTTATAACATCAATTTTTTGAATCGAGTTGAGTTTTACACAGCCTTACTATTATATAGTAATATGTTTGTTAATATTTAAATGAAAAGTATAGATATGTTAAGGTAATGTTAGTTATTTTATCTTTTTGTAATATTGAGATCAGCTATTTGATATTTTGTGTGAAAAATAAAAAAATATTCAAAAATAAATAGTTTTACGGAAATTTTTTTTTTCATTCTTCATTTACCGCTTTGGCAATACTTTTGAAAAATGACTTTTAAAAGTACATTAGAAAATAATTGTTAAAAGTATACTTTAAAATTTAACTGTTTGAGATTGTTGTTAAAAAATGAGTTTGAAAAGATAAAATGTCCAATATAGACATTATGTTATAAATTAAAAATATAGAATTTAAATCATATTTACACTTATTAATACTATGATATATAAAATATATCATCTTAAATTATAATGAATATATAAAAAATAACTACAATAAAAGCATATTTTATAATAACTCCTTATTAATATTTTAATATACGACCCATGAATTTTATTTAACTTTAACTAATTAAATAATAATAAATTATTTTTTAAGGATGTTGATATTAAATTATCAAAATAAAATGTAAACACATAATTAAATGGAGTTCATGCATTAATAAAACTAAAATTATAATTTGATTCCAAAAGTAAAGTTTAAAATGAAAAAGTTATAAATTTTTGCTTTTGCGGTTGGTTTGAAACCAGTAATTCCATCGTAGTTTTTCCTCCTATTTTTTTTAGTTTAGAGTATATACAAAGCTTTTTTCCTACTTTTTTTTTCTCTAGAATAAATGCATAAATATAGTAATGATCAATACTCAACCTATCTATGTTGACAAACAAGCTCCATTGATGATCAAGTTAATGTTTTTCATAGTTTGAGTCAGGTTAAGGTAAGACTTTAGATTTTCTTTTCATAAACTACATTTATAAGCACAAATATTTTTAATTGATAAATAAAATTTTAAATAAAGTTATAATAAAATTTGTTCAAATCCTACTCAATTCAAAGTACCCACACGTTTTTCTTATCATAATATTAAAAAAAGGAGATTAATTATAAAAATATATTAAACCAAACATAATTTCCTACTATATTTTTTTGGAAGACGAACTTGGGATCTATGAGAATTGAGTTCTTCATTGGATTTATCACTCTAGATTTTTAGATAATGATAATTTAAACTCAACTCTTTAAAGAATGGACTCTAATGACATTCTTTAAAGAATGGACTCTAAATCATAAATCAAACGATTTCGGTGGTAAAATAATTATTGTTATTCGTTGAGGTCCCCGAGTTTGAGTATCTAAAATGTCAAAAAATTTGAGCGTTCATTGTCAGATAATTAAGAGTGTTCTTTTACCAGATGCTCACTTATACTTACCTCAAATTAATAAAAAAATATATTCGAAAAAACTAAAATTCTAGTGTCATATTTTAAAAAGTTTAAAAAAATACATTAAGAATGTCAAAATAATGACGCACTTAATCTTAAGAGAAAAGTATTGATGACATATACCAAACTTTGAAACCGGTGGGAATTTATGCCAAAATTAATTAGCATTAATTGAATATTTCCTTAGGGTTACTCTAAGGTATTTGACAACTAGCACATCAATGATAGGTGAAATTATTTCAACACTAAAAACATTGACATGGCAACATAACATTCTTAAAAGTATTGGGGGGGGGGGAAGTGGTTAGGCTGTTTATGCTTGTATGATAAGGGAGCTCCATTAGGTATATATGAAATTAAATTAAAAATAGTTTAATAATTTCTGAAATAATTTAAAACCTTTTAATTAATAATAGTAGGTAATTTTATGGAATAATAAGGAAATACAACAATATTATAAGAGGGGTATACAAAAACTAAAATATACTATCAACTGATATTTTTTTTCTTTGAATAGTCTGAGATGATTGTAAGGTGGTATGTGCAGAGACAAACATACAATTGCTTGAATCTAAGGGCGTTCACTTTTCAGTTTTAACTGAATTAACCGACTGAACCATATTAGTTTAGTTAATTCGGTTGGCCACCGAATTAGTTCAGCCGGGTAACAGTTAATATTTGTTCAATATTCGGTTAACGGTTAATATTTTTTTTAATATTCGGTTAACGGTTAATTCGGTTTAAAATCATTTAATTAACCAAATTCACTGAAATTATTAAATATTATATATAGTAAATACATATTTTAAGCTCAAATCTATTAAGAGTTAATACCCAATTGGTTTTTAACCACACTAGAATCATTAAATTATCAATATCTAGTTAAATTTTAACTCAAATAAAAAAATACATATATTATATTCAAATTAATCTAATTAAAAAATTAAAATATCTAGTTAAATTTTAACTCAAATAAAAAAAATTATATTCAATTAATCTAATGAAAAAATTCAGTTAATTTGGTTAACCCAGTGTTTGGTTCAATTAATATTAAAAAACCATTTCTGTTAATGGTTAAAATAAAAAGTTCGATTAATTCAGTTAATGAAAATCCAGTTCGATCGGTGGCTGAGTTAACCGTTTGCACACCCCTTATCTAGGACCACAAGAGAGAACAACACACCGTTTAACCATTAAGTTAACTCAATGGATTCCAACTAATCATTTATCTTAGGACTATTAGAGTCCACAAACTAAAAAGAAAGAGTAATATAGGACCATACAAAAAACGATGAAAAATCTAACAAAATAAAGAACTACAAAAAAATGATAGATACAAGTAATTACAATTATCGACAGTGAAAGAATATTATCATAAAAATGATATATAACAATATGACACATTGACAAACAGATTTTAATACAATTTAAATACAGTTTATCTTCAGTGTATGAAATAATTTTAAATTTTAAAGATAAAAATATTCAAACTTCTAAATAACTATAATCATTTTAGTTAAAAGAAAATGATAAAATGGTAACAATTGTATACCCTCTGGTTTATGATTAATAAATTTTGAGGGATAATATCCATATGCATTTATAATTTGGTTAATCACATTTGTTTCCCAGTATTATACATTTAATTAATAAATAAATTAACAAACCAGCAACATGCTTAAATTAAGCAATGCGAAAGAAGAACTTACCGGACTACAAGATTGGTAACTTAGTTTCTGATATGAGATACGGTGGTGATGATAAAAACATCAACAAAAGTAGAAAACCGAGGAAGAAGATGGATGCTATCTAATCATCTAAACAGGTTCACTACGACAGAACATGTCTATAGCGATGTTTTCTTTAGCCTTGTAGCGAGGTTATTTGGTAAAAGTGAAGGGATGTAAAGTTAAACAAATGGGAATTAGAAGAGAAGATGGGGTTGGTGTTTATGAATCAAGAAATGGGAGGGTATATTTCAACAGGCTGTTAACAATCATGTCCATGCAACGCGCGTATAAAGTTAAACGAAACAAGGATGAATGTCAAGCTCAAAGACCATGTCCATGACTAAATCAACTCTCGTCTTTTTAGATGAAAACAATGCTTCAAGCTCAAACACCCGTAATCGCGCTACGAAATTGGGATTTGATTCCGGGCCAGGGTCCACCATTGATTCCCC